CTTTTTGTCTGTGTTTATAAGTTAAGGAGACTCTTGGGAGTAATGTGTGTTGTGTTGGGAAAAAGAAATGCAAACATCTTTAATGTGAAACAGATAAAACTCATTTACAGATTCTGAGTCTGTTTAGATTTAAGATTTGAATTTAATAATCGTAACGCCTTTTAAAAACATTGCTGTGTGAATTCTTAATAATGCCACCTTCCCTCCTCTCTCCTGCAGGAGGCTCTGGAGATGCGTCGCCCTGACTTCATCTCTCAGTCCATGCAGAGGGTGCAGCGTCTGGCTCTGCAGGCGGAGGAGAGGAAGCTGCAGGCCGACTTCACAGAGAGAGGAGAGAGAGAAGAACTCTTCTGCCGCCCTGGAGGAACGGGGAGGATACCGAAGCCTGCAGGTACTCAACACCAAAACCAAGAGGAGGGAGACGCTTGACTGAAACCTCAAATCTGCTGATTTCTGAAGCTTATGGAGAATCTCAAGTGTCTCCATTTTTAGTGAAAAGCTCTCTGTCTCTCTCTCTCTCTCTCTCTCTCTCTCTCTCTGTTCAGGCCCCGCTCTGCTCAGGAGAGCCGTTCCAAGGAAAGAGATGATTCAGAGATCCAAACAGTAAGATTTTCACTTTCTCTAAAGAATAACATTTCATTCAGGTTCAGTTTTTCTTCTGGTGACAGTTAATACATTTTGTAGTTAGGCTGTAGGCTAAAGACCTTTTGATTCTCAACATGATTGGACCGTTCACTCTTCCATCAGTGGGTCAAAAATGATCAGTTTGTTTTTTTATACGCAATATCTGTCATGTAAGGGAACCATATTCACTCGTGTTGTGTTCTGTCGTCCACACCAGAAGATCTCATGATTTAATTACTTTTTATTTTCTACTTTTGAACATCAGAAAGTCACTGATAGTCATTTTTGAACCACTTCCTGCATCTTAGGGTTAAACTGATTTGAACCGATTACATTTCAACCGTGTACCAACAAAAGTTTCTCAATGTTTTTCTTGTCTAGGATTTACGAGAGTCTGCCGGAGGTGCAGAGGAGGAGAGAGGAGGAAAGAAGAAAGGCAGAGTATCGATCGTACAGACTCAACGCCCAACTTTACAACAAGGTACAACACAGAAAGAATCAGAGAGTCTCTGCATCAAAGGGTTCTCTTATACTCTGATATCTTGAGCCTTTTGTTGGGAGGTTGTTATTTTAGTTTCTTAATGACAAGAAGGTTTACACAGTTTAAGAATGGCTCCAAATGATTGCTTCAACTTGCAGCTGAAACTTTATCTCTAAGAGTTCTTTAAAGGTGACATATCCTCCTCCTCCTCTTCAGTGTAAATAAGTGTCAGAGCTCCTCAAAACATGTGTGTGAAGTTTCTTGTTCTAAATCCACTCTGATCCTGTATTTGATCATGTCTATAAACCCCTCTATTTCAGCCCTGCTCAGAACAGGCTGTTTCTGTGTCTGCACCTTTAAATATGTAAATGAGCGGTGTCTGACCACGCCCCCTCTCTGGAAGGGCTCGGGTGTACTCGGTCTTTCTCGCTCTATGTCCTATTGTTTACGGTGAGAAGGCAGACTCAGAGGGCAGAACAAACGCCTAGCTGTGGGAGTGTCACCCACCTGGGGGAGGGGCTACTGCCCTTTGTGATGTCATGAAGGGAAAATCTCCAAACGGCCTGTTTGAGCACACATTTTCTGAAAAGTGGAGCAGGCAGAAGACGGAGAGGATGGACTTTCCTCATCATTGGGGGGTTTGTAGACGGACTAGAGACACATGTTAGAGTTAGAGGAACATGGGGAAGAGGATTTTACAGAATATTTGACCTTTTAAAGTTAAAACAAATACTCTACAACTACATCTTCTCTGCTTTAACCATGAAGTGGTTACTGTCAGGATGCTTTTAATTATGCTATCACACACTTAAATAAACAATCCGATCCTGTTGGTGGTTAAAACAAGCTTTTACTCGATGGTCATCGGGTGCATGTGTCCTCAAAATAAAATCACAATTTAATGAGCTGCAGGTCAAAACGATCAACTGGAGCATTTCCTAAACTTTTTCTTTTACTTATTTAAAGCTGAAAAAATATTTTAAAACAGTTAAAAAATTTTTAAAGAAAACACCAGAATCCCTGTTTCACTCACCTTGCCTGGAGCGTTTTCACGAGTGCAGCGTCTTTCTGTCTTTCAGAGAATCACCGGCCACGTCCTCGGCAGAAGAACGGCGTGGCATTGATGGAACAGATCAGTGACCTCTTTTTAAAATAGATTAAATGAACAATGTGAAACCAGTTTAAAATGTTTTATATTCAGATCAAAACTACCTGAAAACTGCTTTTTATTTATTGGTGATCAAATTGTTTTTAGGATAATGTTTGAAGTAGATCTCGACTCGTTTTCTAACACATCACTGGAATGTTTTTTAATCGGTCTAAAGTTGTTTTTATGTGAAAATAAACCCGATGTCTGCAGATTCTTAAACCTTCTCTTTGCTAACTGTTTGGATTTTGAACACAGAAGACGGACGAGGAGAAACTGGCTTAAATGTCTTTATTGATCAGTTAACGTTTGTGCGAGAGCAGGAAGCCACACGAGGACGAAAGGTAAGACGAGTTAGACAAGCTGCAGACACTTAAATAACAGAGTGAATAAATAAGAATTAAGATGCACTATGCCCATTAAATACATCATTTAATAAAACTTCAAGTTAAGACCGTACTGTGCAAACATAAATACTCTAATGAATCATAAAAAATAAAAAAAAACAGTTAATCAGACCGTGGCAAAAACAGAGACTCTTTGGCAAAGATGGAGTTTTGCTTTTAAACACAGTGTGGTCTGAGCGAATCAAAATAAGGCAGGCGATGATCGCTCGTCACCTCGCAGCTCTCTGCACGTTTAAGGCTCGGACACAAACTGAAACAGGAACACGACTCAGCGGAACGAGAGGTTCAAACACAACGGATCTGAATTATTTTCAACCAAAGCCATCGGTGTGTACGGAGAGCCAGAAGACTCGGGTTTAAAAAAAAGATGTTTGTAAATCCATTCCCAGCGTTTACAAAAGAATTTGTAAGAAACTGTAAGGTAATTCTCCTCCACACCACTAGGGGGGCACCTCGCAGCTGGTCGGTGTACCGGTACTTCTTAGCACCTCCCACCTTATTAAGGTCAGGAGAAACAAATGATGGACTCCATGTTTGCCAGGCGTCTTTTGAGTGACCATCAGTGCATCCATAACTCTTCATTTATCTTCAAATAAAGTGGATTGATGTGATCTCGATCTCGTCTCCTGGCGGTTTGAGGCTCCAGTTTGAACCGTCAATAACCTACACGTGAAGGATTTATAACCGCTGCTCAGTGAACAGAAACCGATTGCAAAGATTTACAAACAACAGTTTTTTTCCTTCCTGAGCCTCGCAGGCCTCCGTAGGTGAATCATTTATACCAAGCATGAAAAAGTACACAATAACAACTGGCATGACATTCACACCCCGAGAGTGAGAATAACTTAATAATAATTAAAAACCAATAAAACCCTTCTTCTGTTCTTTTTAAATAAACATGAATCTGTCTGACAGTAAATCCTTTAAAAGGTTCAAAACATTTTGTTCTCGTTCGGTGCAGTCGATAAAGTTTCAGTTTCACCAACAGAGGAAAATAAACGGTCAGCACGCTGCAGGTCAGAGATACTCCACTTCCTGCCTCCACGGGGACGTTACTTCTTCACTCACAGATTCACTAACAACAAATAAATGAACCCTTTGATTCTGGACAGTTATCAGTCACCAGTGTCACATTTTACTCCTTTAAAAGATTTTAAAACTTATTCTCCTTCTAAATGTTTTTAAATGTGTATTTTCTAAAAGCGGCCTGCAGGAACAGAAAGTCGAGTATCTCTGCGTGTTACTTCACTACTACAAAGATTACATCGTTACTTCTATCTGTTCTTTGCTGCATCTTAATTCTGTTTTGTTTAGTTGTTTTTTTAATTTGGTGATATTTTAGCATTTTTTAGGTCGAGGCTTCAAATCAGCTCATTGAGTTTCTGCCTCTCCCTGCACTGAAGTTTGTTATTTGTTTAATATGTTATTTTCCCTTACTGTGCAAATAAAAAAATACTAAATTAGTCGATCAGTGGAGCAGTGAAGAGAACGTGCAGCTTTTATTCTCCTCTGTTGTTTCTCTCGTTTTGTAAAATGTGCAAAAAGTCTCTTTGATCAAACCAACAGTACGAAGCCCTTCTACTCGCTCCTAATGAACAAATCTACATTTAACCCCTCACAGTTCTTCTCTCCCTTTAAACAGTGAGCTTTTTAAAAACAGTGACACCTGATAGAAACGTAAACATGACCCTCCTCCTCCTGTGTGCTGTGAAATATCAGAGCAGAGAGTGAAACATAGAAAGCAAACCTCCCCCCTCCTGCAGCTGATTAGAACGACTCTGTGCAAAATCAAATGTAGTGAATCTGTGCAGCGTGCGGCGAGGATCACGGCCTCGACTGATCTAGAAGTTACCGGTACAGCTTTGCGGAGCTTGTGTCAGGAGAACAGCAGTCTGATGAAGGTCACTCTGAAGGTTAAAGTTTAAAACGTGTTTGTCTTTGATTTAGATCATCGATGGGTTGTTCAGGTTTCACAGGAAGAGGAAGAGGAGACACTTCAAAGTGTTTTTTTGTTCCTTTAAAATCCTCACATGTATTGTACTCACATACGAGCAGTTAACCTAACGAGCACGACTGTGGAAGGAAGCCGGAGAGAACATGCAAACTCCACACAGAGAGGCTCCTGTCAGACAGGGATTCAAACCAGGAACCTCCTCACTGTGCACATTATGATGTCACTAAAGGGGCATCTTCAGATAAAACGGTTTCTAATTTAAAGATTTATGGATCAGTGACAGATTGATTGATTCGACTTTAAGGATTTCGTTTCAGTCCAAATATTGAACCTCCAAAGTGATCTTGAGATCAGACTCGGTCCTGACTCTTTTATAAATACGATTAAATATACGTTCCTGCAGGTTATGATCACAGTAGTGTTTTTTTAAATACTTCCTGGTTTCCCTTGTTTGGCCGTGGAGTGGAAACCAGACTGCTAAGCTGAGGAGGATGAAGATGATGATGAAGATGAGGGTTCAGGGATCAGGTGTCCGTCAGGTCTTCAGCAGACTGTGAACTCTCTGCAGCTGATTCTGTGACAGGACGAGTCGATGGACCTGCTCCTGACCGCGGGCGCACGGCAGCATGACCCGACCCACCAGGACCGCGTCGCCCTGCTTCTCCTCCTTCGCCTGGAGACGAGGAATAAAGTTTGATCATTTTTAATATTCAGAGACGACGGAGACACGAAGCGGCCATCTTTAACATCTTCAAAATAATGAATGAAGGAAAATAAAGATGATGAAATCCTCGCTGACAGGAGGACTTCAAGTCTGTCTCTCTTACCTTCACAAACGTGGTCGAAGGAAAAGTTGCGAAATCAGACGAGATTCGAGCGCCGGGTTGATGGTTGACGACGTGCTCCGCTACTTCATCCTGAAAATAAAATAAAAAGATGTTTTCAAATCAGACGATTCAGAGAGTCATGATTAGTTCTGATTATATTCAGAGTTCAGGGATTTAATTTAAAGTTCCTGTTTTCTGGAACTTTGTTTCTGCACAGCCGTAAAGGTGTGTGTGTGTGTGTGTGTGTGTGTGTGTGTGTGTGTGTGTGTGTGTGTGTGTGTGTGTGTGTGTGTGTGTGTGTGTGTGTGTGTGTGTGTGTGTGTGTGTGTGTGTCTGTCTGTGTGCGTTTGTTTGTGTGTGTGTGTGTGTTTTTCTTTGTGAGTGTGTGTGTTTTTCTTTGTGAGTGTGTGTGTTTTTCTGTGAGAGTGTTTGTTTGTCTGTGTGTGTGTGTGTGTGTGTGTGTGTGTGTGTGTGTGTGTGTGTGTGTGTGTGTGTGTGTGTGTGTGTACCTTCAGTCGGCCCAGTGTGTCACTGAGTGACTGTAATCTTGCCGTCTGTTCCAGCAGCTGAGCACCAGGAGTCACTGCAGGACAAACAGAAACAGGATGTTATGACCATGAGTGGTACTTATCGAGGCGCCACTTTAACATCGTCTCCCCGTCATGAGGTCATAATGCTGCTTTCAAACAAAACGCTGGTAAACTGTTCAGTAAAATAAACTGTTCAGTACAATAAAGTCGCTGCTTTGATTGAAAAGACTCCAACAAGTGAGCAGAGGAGGCGGGCAGAGAGACTCGAGGGCGGTGGGTCTGAACTCAACAACTATCAGTGTTACCCTCGTCTGAGAGCTCGACTAGTGAACAGGTATGAGCAGGATTACAAACTCCACCTGGTGGACACAGACGGTACTACAAGAGCGACACAAGACGCTCATTTTGTTTCTCTCTGACCAACCTGGAGATTTCCCCGTGATGTCGACCACCTTGACGTTGGCGCTCATCTGCAGCAGAGTCTCCAGCAGCTGGTCCGTTTTGCGGTAGAGGGCGCTGGAGAGCACTTCAGGCCGACCGTCTTTCGAGGGAAGTTTGGTCACGTGAAGAGGAGGCAGAGCGGCGAGCTGAGCACGCATCTTCTCTGCCTGAGAGGAGAAAAAACAAAGAGTGAAGTTATAAATATTCTTAAAGAATGTTGAGTTTTTGTTTTTTAAAGCATCGTGTGTTTAGATGTGGATACCTTCAGTCGGTTGTTGTCGTTCTTCAGGTGTTTGATGCAGAGTCTCTGAGCTTCGATCTGCTGAGTCAGCAGAGGAGAGTCGATCACCTGGACGCCCGAGCCGGAACCGACGCCAGAGATCATGTTCGCTGCAGGAGAGACATCAGGTAACACGTTATAAAAACACCATTTAAACAACAGCTTTCTCCTAAATATTCCATCTTCATGTCCCAACTATAAAACATCTTGTGTTCATACGTCACTGTAATTTTGGAAAATAACTGTAACACATACATAAAACTTTACTAAGATAAATCTTTTTATTCCACTGCAATCAGTGTTGAGCTTATCAAACATGTTGCATCGTCTTAAAGAAGTGTCTCCATCTTATACAGCTTCTTCATGACAACTTATGTCAACATGTCAAGAAAAAACTGGTCTGTGACATGCGATCTTTAAAAAGATTGAGGATAAATGTGGATTCATATCATGCAGTGAGGAGACACACCTTCATGACCTTTTAATGTATCAGGGTTTCTGCAGGACTCACTGAGATGATAAAGGTATCTTACTCTCTGATCAGACATTAAGGAAACATGCTATGTTGAAGTGCTGGCTTCTCTGACAACAATGCAGCAGCCAGTATGTCCTCCTTCTAACTTTAGATTCTGCTCCTGAATGCTCTGGATTTGTTTGGACCAGAGAAGGTAGGCGCTTTTAAGACACCCCCCCCCCCCCACACGGCCGTTTTGGACGCCCCTCGGTTTGTCAGATATGAGAGCAGTTAGAGAAGTGGTTCAGATAGAAGTGATTGTACCCGACCTAAAAAGCCTCTGCATGTTTCTAATAAGCTCCACGAGCAGAAACGTGCTCAAACTAGGATCAATATTGGAGATGCTTTTGAAAAATGGAGAGAGGTTAGAACACAGAAAGGTTTACAGACCCATGCAGAGCTGGATAAACACTGAAGCTTCAGAGTCCACCACATGGTGACCTGTGTGAGCATCCACTCTAGAGAGGAGGGGGGGGAGAGACAGCTCTCTATGATGTTTAGAATTTCGACTGCAGTACCCATTTTAAACACTAGGTGTCAGAGTTACATACTGCTGCTTTAACATGCATGAAGAATGTAACTGCTGTCACACCATGCACAGTTAAAATGAAAAATGAAAGTTAGCATGCAGGATCAACGATGTGTCAGGTAGATACCTTTTTGTTCCTCTGCAGAAGTGAAAGATTAAATAGAAAGAGTGTAAAGATAAAGCAGGGATCAAAGGGTTAAAGAGATGAATAAAACAGCATCAGGTCATCATGACACGTTTGAGAGAGTCTGCAGCTCCTGTAGTTCCTCTCACCTCCTGATATTCCCGTGACGATGGAGGCGATTCCCGACGGGCCGGTTCCTCTCAGCCCGTCGACGGTCATCTTGGAGGAGCTGTTGATTCTCTGCTTCAGCTCCGCCTTCTCCGCCTCCAGCTGGTCGATGTCGGCCTGCAGAGCGTCCATCGTCTCCTCGAACTCCCTGCAGAGAGGAGGAACATCACACAGCTGTTAGACGTCTGTTATGTGACCTAACGTCTCTGAACCTGCAGCCGGACGGCGTTCTTACTTCTCTTTCTTCTTCAGCAGCGTCTGCGCCTCGTCCAGTCGGGTCTGAATCTTTTCAACGCGCTCGTCTGCGTCTTTGGACGAACTGTCCAGCTTCTTCTCCAGCAGGCTGAGACGGACGTTCGCCTCGCTCAGCTCCTCCCCCTGAAAACATGCAAACCAAGGATGCAGTCAACAAACTTCAGTCATGCTTCGTTGGTGATTTGTCTTCATATTTTGAGACTTTATCCTGTGATCTATGAAATATACAAAAACAGATTTAACCAAAAATGTGAAATGATTGAGTGTAAAATGTGTTAACATTTCTCATTTGTGGTTCCTCTTCTAACAAGATCTGAAGTTCCAGTTTCAGCAGGTAGGAGAGTTCACTCACCTTGATCTTCAGAGACTTCTTCAGCTCTTTGATGACCGTCTCTCTGTCCTCCAGCTTCAAACCGAGACCCTCTGCGTCGGTGATCTCAGCCCGGAGGGCCGCAGACCGCACGTCCACAGGAGGAGGATTCTGAAGGAGAGAATGTAAACACATTTATCTAATCCAAAACCTGCACCAGAAGAAGATCATTTGAACACTTTTGATTTGTGTTACCTTGCTTTGAGGCTTCTCAGAGTCGTATTCTCCCTCCTGCATGGCGGTGGCCATCTTGTTCATGGTTGCTATGACCATGCCACAGGACTGACGCAGATACTCGTACGGGTTGGCTCCCTGCGATCCGTAAATCTGAGAACGACAGTGAGATCGTTTAACCATGTTAGAAAAACTACGATTACCATACATAGAGTTTCTTATGGCTGCAGGACGCTTTCTTTTTAATTTCTAAATTTTGGTCAGAGCTTCTTCTTTGTTTGATTTCACTGAATATTTGTCATGTTTGCATGAATATTTTCATATCAGGAGTCAGGATGTGTCACTGTTATCCCGGGGCCTTGAGTTTCTTTTTTGATTGTTGTTTTCTGTTTTTATAAATATATCTTTATCTTGTATTTCTTCACATTTTCAGTCGGTTTCTTTTCCCATCTTGTACTCCTGTGTGAGTCTCTTCACTTTAAACGTATTGGATTTACCTGCTCTCCGGCCTTGAACGCCACATCCTCCAGTTTGACGGCCGCCAGCCCCTCCTGCTCGCCGAGCGGCGACATCATCTGAGCTCCGGCTGCTGCCACCTCCTGCAGCACGGCAACCACCCAGGTCAGGTGTTTCCTGCAGTCTGAGAGCGTGTCTGACACCTGCAGGCAAACATCGGTATTAAAAACAGAACAAACTAAAGCTCAAATCTTAAACGGTCGACAGTAAACACCCTGATGGTAGAGGCTGTGGAGTAAAGTGACCATCAGTGTCAAAAGGCAGGGTTTGTCATTTTTTAAAAACTAGTATTCCCTCTGTGCTCCGTCTACACCCACCCTCTCCCCTCTGTTCTCCCTTTTTTGTCCGTTGCCGTGGTTACCTGCAGTCCGAAGTTGAGCGCAGCAGGGATCCCCGGCGCGTCCGTTCCCGGCATCCTGCGCCTGATCTTCTTGCAGAACTGTCGGATGTCGCTGCAGGACGTCTCCAGGTCCTTCAGCAGCACGGCGAGGTCCGCCTTCTCCTGACCGGTGTGCAGGAACGCCCGCAGACGACCCACCTCCACCGCCATGCAGTCCAAGGCACTCTGGGTAAACTGTAGACAAAACACGACAGATGAACTTTGTCAAGCAGCTAGATCTGCAGACACAATGTTCACTAGCAAAGGGAGCGCTGGGAAAAAGAGGAAGCATGTTTACGACTATTATTGAACCAGGGAGAAAAGAGACTTCTTCTTTCTTTCTTCTTAAAGTGATGCATCGGGGACATCATGAGACTTCTCACAGCCTGTTAAAGATGTTGGTACTCACTCGGATGTGATCGGCCAGCTGCATGGTGCAGTCCTCAGTCTGATCTGCCAGGTGGATGCTGTACAGGTGCTGAGAAAAGAAGGACAGGAAGGAGGAGTCAGAGTTCAGCGTTGTGTTTGTGTCAGCAGCTCATGTTTTTAATATGAGCTGAATATAAAGTCTTAAAGAGAGGCGCTGTAATGTACGACTGTTCAATTCAGTGTTGTAAATGTGCACACATGGATCACATGCAACCTTAAACGATCGATGCAAAGTTCCTCAATGTATTTGTTTTAAATCACAACTTTTATTTTTTATTTTTTATATTCAGGTCTAATTACAGATTTTTTTTCCCTCAACTGTTTATAGGTTCTTGCTTTAAATGTCATATATTTTTATCCCTGCACGGGTTATGTACATTTCTTGTATAAGTCTATTTTTAATTACACAGTTTAAGTTTGATTCATCTAGAGGCTTTAAATCTTTTTTCAGGTTCATATATATGTATGAGAGGGGGGGGGGCGTCGGTTTTGTGGTTAATTTGTAACAAATGTTTCATGTCATGTCTTTGTAACCTGCTACTGGATGCTTTGAATTTCCCTCTGGATCAATAAAGTATCTATCTATCTATCTATCTATCTATCTATCTATCTATCTATCTATCTATCTATCTAAAACAAGAGGGCACAGCAAAGGTTTCCAGCGCTAGCAGTACAAGGAGGAATCTAAACTTTCTGACTCAGGGATGGAGGTGCTTGCAGATGAAGTGTATGTTGCTGCAGCAGGATGGTCACAATCACTGACAGACTGTTTGGTATTGAAATTCTAACTCCTCCACCTCTATGGCTTACATGACACTCCGTCCTCCGCAAGGTCGAAGTGACAAACCGACCAATAACCATAAATCTGCACAACAAACGACGACTGATGTTTGAGTGAGATGGTCTGATGAAGTACTGAGTGAGTGTCTCTCTCTCCTACCTGATAGTATTTGATGGCCTTGGTGAGCGGCTCCACGTTGACCGTCTCGTCCAGCTGGTCTTTGTGCAGCAGGTCGATGAGGAAATCCAGAGATCGCTCGTGGACGCTCATCTCCGGGTAGAGAGTACCGATCTTCTTGTAGACGTCCACGCTGCACTGAGTCAGAGCTCTGACACACACACACACACACACACACACACACACACACACACACACACACACACACACACACACACACACACACACACACACACACACACACACACACACACACACACACACACACACACACACACACACACACACACACACACACAAACTACTTAATACTAAATGCAAAACTGCATCACAAAACTTGAAAACAAAAACATGACATGGAACGCAAAAAAAAAAAAGTATAACACACAAAAATGTTGTGGAACGCACAAATCTGAACAAATGCAACCTTTCAGTCCTGACTCCTGTGTTACAGACTTACTGTTCATATTTATGCAGCGTGGCCTGCAGCAGACAGAGCGAGTAAACCAAACCGCCTGCAAAGCTCAGCTGCTCGCCGGCCGCTCCCTTCATCCCGGCTCGCTCCACACAGCTCTCGTTCAGGTCGAACTTCTCCTGAGCCTGTTTGCTGATCAGCTCCGCCTGCACACAAAACAAGACAGCTTAGTAAGTCTCATCTTTATTCTTTTTTTTCCCATGGTGCATCTGTTGGTAGGAGATGTGGTTAAAATTCGGCGGTGTCGACCTTGCAGATGAGTCTGGGGATGAGCAGCAGCACCAGGATGCAGTCGTGGTCGCCGCCGTGACGGAGGAACGACTCGGGCATGAAGGAGGTCAGAAGAGAGACGTGTCTGTTGGCCTGACCGACCTCCATCTTCCTCAGCTCCATCTCGATCGCCTGGATGTAAAAAACATGACGGTAAAATAGAATCTATAGATTTAACAATCCCTAACCCTTTTTATACTGTTAATGTTATGTCTGTATGTTTGTCTTTTGTGTGTGTGTGTATGTGTGTGTGTGTGTGTGTGTGTGTGTGTGTGTATTACTGTGTTACTAAATGAAAATGCAATTAATTCGACTTGCTTTTGTGATGTCGTCTTCTTAAAGTCTTTTCTTTCTGGTTTTACTATTTTTATCTTCTTTTACTTCTTATTGTTCTTTTATTTATGCTCTTATCTTAACTCCTCTTGTGTTTTAATTCGGTAATTTCTTATCTTACTTACTTTGTCTTTGTTGTTTATGTTTTATATTTTTATTTAGTTTTTTGATAACTGATTCACTTGTTTCTATTTCTCTTCCTGCTCTTACCTTCTTATTGTTGTTCTCTTTTGATTTACTTTGAGCTCTTTTAGTTTCTTAAATCTTTTTAAATCTTTGGTTCCTCTTGGTCTCAGCTCGTGTTGTTGGGTTCTTGTGATGGTTCTTATGATGGTTCTTGTGATGGTTCTTATGATGGTTCTTCTGATGGTTCTTGTGATGGTTCTTGTGATGGTTCTTGTGATGGTTCTTATGATGGTTCTAGTGATGGTTCTAGTGATGGTTCTAGTGATGGTTCTTGTGATGGTTCTTATGATGGTTCTAGTGATGGTTCTAGTGATGGTTCTAGTGATGGTTCTTGTGATGGTTCTTATGATGGTTCTTGTGATGGTTCTTATGATGGTTCTAGTGATGGTTCTTGTGATGGTTCTTGTGATGGTTCTAGTGATGGTTCTAGTGATGGTTCTTGTGATGGTTCTAGTGATGGTTCTTGTGATGGTTCTAGTGATGGTTCTTGTGATGGTTCTTGTGATGGTTCTTGTGATGGTCGGGTTCTATATGTCTGTTGGGTATCGTGCACTTTGGGTTCTTTTCTGTTGGAATGTTTTTTTTAATTCTGATTATTTTTCATTTGTTTGTTCTTGTTGTTGTTTATGTTCTTCTGTGTTTGGTCTAGTTTACTTTATTCTTGTTTTTGTCTTTTGTTTGTCAAAACACTTTGTTAACCTGTGTTTTTAAAAGGTGCTATATAAAAAAAATTATTATTATTATTATTATTATTATTATTATTATTATTATTATTATTATTAATAAAAAATATTGGTTCAAAAAAACAATAAACAGTGAAAAACTCTGAAAGTTTGAAGACATTCACAGAAAAACAAATCATGGGTTTAAATCTATCTGAGTGCAATTTTCTGGCTTCAACTTTACAACCTTCAGCCCGAGTTCGAGGTGAGAAAAGGACGTTCAGGCTGATAAACTCTCTCACTTCTCAGAGTGTTCTCTCTCATTATTTAAAGAGCCGTTCTCGTCTCTGACCTTGGCGTACGCCTTCGTCTCTGCAAACTTAATCTTGAAATCAAACATCTCTGCGACCGGCTGCTGCTGCAGCTCCGCCGACGCCTCCTGCTGGCTGGTCAGCTCTCTGTTCACCTCCTGCAGCAGACACACAAATCGGGATCAGATCGATCAGGAGGGGGTTGGACTCCTGAATCAGAAATGGGAGAGTTTGAGTGTGTGTACCTGCAGGTGAGCTGTGAGCTCGCGGTACTTCTGGATGGTCTGTTGGTAATCGGCCACCGTCTCCTGAGCGGCTTCGACGCGTTTCTCTGACTCTCTGACTTTAGCCCCGCCCAGGTCCAACATCTCCCTCAGCTCCAGCTCCGTCTCTCTGGCGTTCTCCTGCAGCTCGTCGTTCATCTCGTTGATCGCTTCCTGACGGGTAAAAAAACAAACAGACAAACAATCAGTGATCTGATGTTCTTCTGGTTTTATCTCACTTGTCTCATGTCGAGAGATAAACGACCTCGACTCGAGTCACTTCAATCTCCTCTGACGTCGAGTTTATGAAAACACAGAAAGTGCGCAAGTCTAATCTCATATCCAGAAGTCTGTTTGTTTGTTTGTTTGTTTGTTTGACTCACCAGGTCGGTGACCGTCTCTCTCAGCTCCCGGACTTTCTCCTCCAGGTCCAGATTCCTCTCCGTCAGAGTCTCCACCATCTCCTCCGCCCCCAAAGCCGCGTCCACCTGAAACAACCCACATCATCATCATCATCATCATCATCATCATCCTCATCATCCTCATCATCATCACCACCATCATCACCATCATCCTCATCCTCATCATCATCACCATCATCCTCATCATCATCATCCTCATCACCATCATCATCATCATCATCAGAGTAGCTCCATCATGAGGTGAAAAGACTCTGACCTGTTCTTTCAGCTCGTCGATCGTCTTCTCGGCCGCCGACATCTCCTCCTGCAGTTTCTCCTTCTGGCTCCTCAGAGCGTCCAGCTCCACGTTCTTCTTCTCCATCTGCTTCTGCAGCTTCACATGTTCCTGCTTCTCTGACGACGACAGGTCACGCATCCTGAGAAGAAAAAAAAAGAGACCGAATTAAAAATCTGGGTGAGAGCTTTGTTGGATTCCTCTTCCGTCCGTTTTAACCTCTGAACCTCGAATTAGAATGTGGCTCATTTCAAATCCAGGTGATACTTCCTGTACAGAACATTTTGTTTTTAATGACAGGAGGAAAAGAGCTTTTTTTAAATCCGGGATGACATAATCAAAATTAAATTATGTAAAAAACCGATGTGTAACCGATGAAATTGTGGACTGTACCTTTAAGACATACTGTGTTGCTAGGTTACTCAGGGAGTGACATCACTAGTCTAACTGGTGGCTCTCCTGAAGGGGTGAAGACCTACCTGACCAGCGCCTCCTTCAGTCGGCCGTTCTGCTCCTCCAGCTGTTTGACGTGATAACTGGACGCCGCGCCGTCCGACCCTGTGAGCGACACACAAACACAACTTCAACTCAACGACCCGCAGACGATAAAACAAACTTCATTATGTTTCCTGCAGGGGTTGAATGGCAAAAGAAATGGCGTTTCCTCTCAGCTGGCTCTGAACTCTGAGAGCGCCACTTTGTAAAGACGTGAAGAGAAACTTAACAGGATGAAAAGTAAGCCGTACCTTTCTCCTCGATCTCGTGCTTCAGGATCTCCAGGTCCATGGTGAGCTCGTCCACTTTCTCCTTGTGCGAGTCGACCTCCAGCTGCAGAGACTCCGCCCTCTCCTCGGCCATCTCCTTATCCAGCGTGGCCATCTCGATGGCGTCCGCCGTGTCCGACATCTCCTCCATGTAGCGCTCCTTAGCCTCCTGCGCTTCTTTTGCCTCCTGAACAACATGAAGTTAAACTTTATGTTTAAGTTTGTTCAGTCTCTTAAACCTGCTCACACATTTATCAAGCGCCCAACAAACATTCTCACAACGCACACACTTCTCATGAGATGACCTCGACCTGCTGCCAGTTACACAGTGCAGTAAACAGGTGATCGGGCCGTGTTGTGGTCATGGGAGAGATGCCGCCCTCCTTTTTGAGAGCTTGAAAAAGACATAAAATCGACTTTTGACGTCACTACGTTAAAGTCTTTATATGTGATTTTTCACTCTTAAATGTAGAAATCAAGTATATCCTCTGAAAATAACTCTGTGAGTCATGACTGTCTACAATGGGTGTAACACCCGAGTCCCACTGTCTGTGATGTTTTCAGAGTTTTCAGAGTCCTATCTTCACTTTGTTTACATCGCCAGGACGGCCGGCTGACTCCTCCCCTCATGTATAAAAGTTGTTTAATTGAGGGACTAGAGAAAAGAAGAATAACATACTGTACTCACTGCTTAACTGTGTTTCTAGATCACGCTCATTTCAGGTAAATTTACATGCAGTGTGAAGATACCAGCATAATAAAGATCACTAGCATTAGCATGCTAACACAACAATGCAGCGCGAGTTGTTTTGGTTTCATGCTGGTGCTCAAGGGCGACATCTGCTGGATCAAAACATCACATATAAAGCCTTTAAGGTGGAAAAGTTCAGTATTGTTGCTTTGATAGACTTCAGGCTGTATCAACGATCGCAGGTACTAAAAAATGGAACAAGAATCTAAACTGTCGCTGCGGTTGGTTCTTAATAAATTAGAGAATCTTAGAAATATGAATCTGAGACTTTCTGTTGCTTTGTGCTGTTGAACTGAAGTCATGCCAAACCCTGACCCCCCAAACCAAGTCACACCCCTCTTCACCAAACCATCCATCCATAGACACGATCATGAAGTTATCTCATGTCGTCTGCTTCTTACCCTCTTGGCCTCTTTGAGTTGTTTCTGCAGCTCGGCCTGCTGCTCCTGCATCTTGCTCTTCCACTCCTGCAGCTGCTCCAGCTGGATCTTGTGTTTCTCCAGCTCCTTCAGCTTGGCCTTGTCCTCCGTCCGCTTCATCTTCAGCGTCTCCAGCTTCTCCTCCAGGTCCTTCAGCTGACCACGCAGCGCCTCCTCCTCCTGGGGAGAAAAAACAACAACAACATTGAAGTTTGTAGTTTTTATTTCATTATTGTGTCATACACACGTTTATATGCCCGGTCTGCACGGGCTCACACGACACCATGAGATCAAACATTCCAGGATCAGAGTGCAGAGGAGATCTATTCATTGTTATGAAACAAACAAAAGCAAGACAGACCCTCATTAAACAGAATATCTAAACCGAGTCCTAAAATGTCTCTGATTTTGAATCGACAGACTTCATGACCAGAGGGAGACTATCAGATCTTCACTGTGCGACTGACGATCTTTGGCTTTGGGATAAAAAACATGTTAAAGATAACTCAGACATAACATTCTGTTTGATCTGTACATACTGTATGTCCTTAGTTTGACTTGGTCAGAACATTTTCAAACTATTTCTCTTCTTACTTCATCTTTCATGGAGCACATTACAGCACAGATTATTCCTGTAAATATATTCATCATGTCCTCCTCCTCTAAAAATGAATAAAGCTCATTCGCCCATGGAGACTTTATTCTCTCCTCTGCCATTTTGATTAGTTGATTCCATAATCGGATCATTTCACGTTTTCATAGCTCCGCCCCCTGGTACCCAGCCCAGCTCCCCCTGACCTGCTGGAATCAGAGCAAATCTATGAACCTCCAGAAGCCTTGTAACATCTGAGGACAAGAGGAGAGATTTGATATGTTTCTAAAATATTCTGATGAAAGATACTTTGAATAAACACATTAATTCAAGTCTTCAGATGTTCCTTCTCAAATGATTTTCTTCAGTGAATCTTAAAAGTGAAGCGTCAGGTGTTCGGTTTCCTCTCTAACGTGACAGAACTGTTTTTATGCTTTTATTTCACTTTCCATGCAGCGAATCAACCTGTAGAGAGCAGGGAGTCACACACACACACACACACACACACACACACACACACACACACACACACACACACACACACACACACACACACACACACACACACACAGAGACACTCTCACACACACACACACACACACACACACACACACACACACACACACACACACACACACACACACACACACACACACACACACACACACACACACACACACACACACACACACACACACACACACACACACACACACACACACACACACACATCACAGCAGGAGATGGTAATTCAATCCTGCAGACACTTTCTGTGAGTTGAGACGGCGCCGCCTCACACACCAATTAAAGAGCAAGCTTCACACTCCTGACAGCTTGTTATCGTGTTAGTGTGAGAAAAACAACACTCCAGTTTCAAGCGCTGAAAAAAAAAGCGTCACATCACATCACACCGCTTTACTGCACCTGTGTCTCCACAGTGACGTCATCCTGAGGGGGTAAAACACGGATCAGGTTTATGAAGTCCAACAGAACTTTTACAAAATGTTAAAGTCTCAAACATTAAACCACTTTATGGGGATTAATTCACCACATGCTGCAGATTGAATCACTTTATGACTTTGTCTCATTTCTGAGAAGCAGCTGATTCTCTTTTTTCTTCTTCTGCAGCAGACGAGGTGAAGTGGTTAAAGTCAGGGTTGGTAATTATCCAAAAACTAGCATGATTTTGAAAGGAGCATTCCCTCAGTGCTGTGTCTGCACCCCCCTCCCCTCTGTGCTCCCTCATAAGCCACGCCCCCTTCACTTACATGCATGAGCGCCGTCCCTCCAGAAGTGTCTCATTCAGCGGTCAGTAAACTCACAGTTTAAACTCCTAAAGTCATCGGTGACGAGCTTTAAGTGTGAGGTAGAGAGCGAGCAGGGAGACAGGGAGGCGTGTGATTGGTTCATCAGATTGGTACCTCGTGGCAGACATTGGTTGAAGTTTTTACAGACTTACAACTCATACAGATGACGGATTTTCTTTGTTTCTTTGTTAATTTTTCTCTATGGATGCTCTCGGCATCAAAAGTTCCACATCGGTCGTGCCGTAATTAAAATGTTATGAAAACAAAGATGGATTATTTTAAGAAAAAATGGTGCTCATTATGAGTACCAAACATGTATTTCATGGACTCAGGTTTCTCAGTGTGTAGTGAAAAACATGTGAAGGCCTCTGGCTCATTCCAGATTATTATTTTTATAGCTCTCTGACGACACAAACACAAAGTGACAGCTGTGTAGAAAAACGTGTATATTTATAGGAGCTATAGCGCAGAAGATGTCACCTCTCGTTTAACTCGGCTAAAGCACAGAGTCCTAAAACGTCTCTGATTGGTCCGCAGGTCAGACGCTAAAGTTTCACTAAAGTCATCTTCAGTCCAACTAAATCCTTCTACCAGACACAAAACTCAGGTTCTTAAGTGAGTTATGAAATAGCAGCTGTTAGTTTGTTTCCTGTGAGATCAAACATGTTGGACCCGCTCACTAAACTCGATATCACTGAGTACAAACACAAAATGGTCTTTAAGCTGCACGCTCAGCAGTAAGAACTTGTGATACTGTGATTGATTCAGACGTGCAGAGTTGAAAAGAGAGTAAGACGAGTTTCACCCCGACCAGGAAGAAACCAGTTTGAGGTTCTGACCTTGCTGGGGCCAGGAGCTGGAAGGTTTCCTGGCGAGTGGAGGGTGGGGATGACGGGAGCCGCCAGAGGAGTCTGTGCCGGCGTGCTGGGCTCACTGCTGCTCATCTCCCCGGCAGAGGCCGAGGCCGAGCCCGACGCGGCGCCCTTTCCAGCCGTGCCCGCAGTCCGGCTGGGCTGCTGTGGGAAAACCGAACGCAAACAAATGATGAGAAAAAAACACTCAAATATACCAGAGTCTTAAAAATGATTCAAACTGATGTGCAACTTAGAAACTAAAGCAGTAACTTCCCCCCCGCTACGGCGGCGAAGGAAACCAAGACGTGGTGGAGACGGGACGACGATTTGTGTTTTAAACATCAACAAAAAGACGTGAAAATGGAAGAACAGAAATAAAATATGTTCATCTAAGCAAAAGAATAAAGATGCTTTCAACCCAAAGGTGATCCCTCTGATGACTGTGAATCATGTCTGGTGATGTAATGTCACACACGTGTTGTCAACGCTCACACGCACGCACGCACGCACGCACGCACGCACGCACGCACGCACGCACGCACGCACGCACGCACGCACGCACGCACACACACACACACACAGAAATGTGAAGCCCCGGAAGACTTTGAGGAGCGGGCTCACCTTGGGCCTTCTGGCCGTGGTCTGAGGAGGAGGAACAAAGGTCAAAGGAGAGGAGAGGAGGAGAGGAGGGAAGGAAACAAACATCCAGGGTTAGTGAGATTCAAGGCATATTAAACAGATCACAGACAAAAGGGTCAAAAGAGAAGATGATGTAACAACAATAAAAACTTAGGAACGTTTATTTCTCTGCTCTGAAAAGTCGCACCATGTCTCCTCGTCACATCCCGACACATCGGCTTGTTTTCTCTCCTGCCCTCTCTGATCTCTGGGGCCTCATCTCATCTCACCCATGTGATCATAAAAACCCTCCGACACTGTGGCTGGTACGGCCGCTGTGACCTAAATGACTGCATTGTGTCTCCGGGGACAGAAAGGAGCCCAGTTCTGTTGTACCGCTCTGTCACGCTGCAGACAGCGCCGGGGTAATAGCTTGTTATCGGGTCGTGTTGCGTGTTTCGGACGTGCAGCACAGCTGGATGGAGGAGCGAGCTGGGAAACATCCTCACTTTGTGTACAGCTGATTACTTCTGCAAATCTGGATGCTTTTAACTGAACTGCTTTAGAGAAGTTGCATAAAGAAAGAAAGATAAAAAAAAAACATCCTGACAAAATGGGGAGATTATCTAAACTACAGTTTTATAAATTTACTTAAAAGAGATAAAACTGCAGAAAGATGTTTTTCTCTGGTTTTTAAATTTACAAGTAACTACAGTTGTAGAAAAAAAACTGAATTAGTTGTTTGTTTCAAACTTGATTTTCTGAGAAAGTAGCCGTGTAATCAAAGATCATTTGTAT